ACAGGGTGCCTGAATGAAACATAATTGTACACCTAACCCTTAATTGTACCCCACAAAACCATGATAAAAATATTGATTAATAAAAAAAAAACCTACAATGAAATAGTACTTCATTACCACTAAGATGGTTATGATTAAAAGACAAATAATAAGTGTTGACAGTGGTGTGGAGGAACTAGAACCCTCATATTCTGCTGGTGGGAACACAAAATGGTGCAGCTGCTTTGGAAAACAGTCTTGCAGTTCCTCAAAAATAGTCATCATCATGACCCAGCAATTCTCCTCCAAGGTATAAACCCAAGAGAAATTAAAGCTTATGTTCACATAAAAACTTATACAAAGATGCTCACAACAGTATTATTCACGACAGGCAAGAAGTGAAAACAGCCCATATGAATATCAGCCAATGAGATAAACAAAATATGGTTTATTGATACAATAAAATATTGCTCAGCCATATTTTAACAAAACTTAAATTTAATAAAACTTAAAAGTGCAAAACATGTACACTGAAAACTATAAAATATAACAGAAAGTTTAAAGGAATAACGTGCGGGTACATGCTGAAACATGAATGAGCCTTAAAAACATCATGCTAATCGAAAGAATCCAGACACAAAGGAGACACGTATTATATTATTCCATTTATATAGAATGTCCAGAATAGGCAAATTCATGGACACAGAAAGGAGCTTAGTGGTTACCTAAGGTTAGGGGCTGGGAAGGAAATAGAGGTGATTGCTAAAAAGTATGGAGTTTCTAAATGTTCTAAAATTGATTGTGGTGAATTTTGCACAAATCTGTGAATACATTAAAACCAAAATTTTAAATGGGTGGATTGTATGGTGTGTGAATTGTATGCCAAGACAGCGGTTACCCAATCCCTCACCCCATCCCTACCCACTCCCAGCAAAAGAAAAAAAACAATATATATAGTTGTTCCTCAGTATCCACGGGGGATTGGTTCCAGGACCCTGCGGGGATACCAAAATTGGTGGAGGCTCAAGTCTTTTATATACCATAACATTTCCCTATCACCTACATATATCCTCCTGTAGACTTTAAATAGTCTCTAGATTATTTATAATACCTAATACAATACAAATGCTATGCAGATAGTGGTTATACTGTATTGTTTCCTATTGGTATTATTTTTATTGTCATATTTTTGTTTTTCACTGTGGATCCACGGTTGGCTGAATGAAGGCTGATGTACATACATGAGCAAATCTTTCCATGCCAGGTCAAAGCCTCTGCTGTGAGGGATCTGCTGAATGAAGTACCTCATGGTCTTTCTTGCATGAATCACATCCTTAAGATAAAATATAACTTCCTGCTTCTGTGTTTTCAGAGAGGAGCTAAAACTTAGACACTTGTCAAGCAATTTGTGTGTGGACTCTCTCTAGATTTTTTTCCAGTGTTTATTCCAACCCCTATAGTTTTCTCATTCCCATCTAATTTGACAGCAATACTCTTTCACAGAATCTTTCCAAAGCACTCAATTTTGTTGTAATAGAAACAATGAGTGGTAGCATGCGCCGGTAGTTCTGGCTACTTGGAAGACTGAGGCGGAAGGATCGGTGAAGGCCGGCAGGTCGAAGCTGGGGTGGCCAAGTGTGCCACTGTACTTCAGCCTGAGTGACAGAGTGAGATTGTGACTCAAAAAAAGAAAGAAAGAAAGAAAGAAAGAAAGAAAGAAAGAAAGAAAGAAAGAAAGAAAGAGTTATCTCTTTGTGATCATATTTCACTGGTTTACATTGTCCTAGAATGTATAATTACAACCCAGATACCATTGGTATCAACTGGTTTAGGATAGCTATAACTGTCCCTGGAAAGCTTATGACCCAACTTCTGGGTGCGGAAATGGTGCAGGGCTGAACTGGAAGGGCTGTCCGTGGGGAACTGTGCTGTGGGCAGCAGGCAGTGTGCTCTGCAGATGGGGTGGAGAACCATTGTTGTCTGGCCAGGCTACTCAGCAGAAGTTGGTTAAGAGCTACAACTCTGCACACAAGGAGTTTACCATAGTACCATCTGCACAGTCATTAACATAACCCAAACCACGAAACAACTTAAGCATCTACAGATACAGGAGTGGCCAAATCACTGATGTTACATGATAATTGATATTATAGATCAATGCAGATTAATCTCTCCATGTATTGACCTAGAGGGATGTCCATGATAGTTTCAGGTAATAAAATCAAACTGCAGAGTAACATGAATGGTGCAATCCCATTTCAGCTAAAAAGAAAGAATAAAAGAAGGAAGAGAGGGAAGGAAGAAGGGAGAAAGGAGGAAAAAAGGAAGGGAGGGAGAAAAATGGAAGATGGGAGTATTTATACACACTTATTTAAGCACTAAGAAATCAAGAAAGAAACAGAAGAATTCATTGCAAAGTGTTAGCAGTGAACGGGGTGGGAGAAGAGAGATAACTGATTTTTTCTTTACATACTGCTCTATTATTTCACTTGTTTCAGTGATCATATATTACTTCTTTTACTTAAGAAGCTAATATAATGAAGAACATTGAAAAGAGCATCTGAGGTGTCATCCTGAACAACTTAGTTTGGGGTTCCATCCTTCAGGGTGTGACCATGACCCCGTTTGGGCCTGTCGGCTTCTCTAAGGCCATAGTTTGCACAGCCAGCCTGACCCAAGCCTCTAACTCACATGGTGAAAGCTGATCTCCATGTGGCCACAGGCTTTCTGAATGCCACTCCCACACATTATTGGATTTATCATCTCAGCAGCTCTGTGAGGTCAGCAGGGCATAAACAAGTATTCAGAGTAGAGGAAATAGGGGCCAACAGGCAGTGATGTATCCAAGATCACGTGCCGGTCCCCAGGGTGCCATGGCCATCCACCACCAGCTCTCTTTTGCCTCCCCAGAGACTCTGAAGCACAGCGGTGAAGCATCATGGAGAGAGCAGAGTCTTGTCACTCTCGCAGCTCACATCACGCAGGGGAAAGACTCGCCAGCAGGAAATGCAAATAGTTCTACTTCCAAGCCAGGAGTTTGAAGCAAACCAACCCATAAGTTACTCAGCAATGAAACAATCAGGTTTGATGGCAGCTGCGGTCACTACAGCAGTACCTCACCTTTATATAGTGCTTCACAGTCAATAAAAGTACACCCAGGTACTGTATTTGCGACGTAGGAATGTCCCAGTAATAAACTGATATTCCCTCCACACTTAAAATTAATATAGGTTCACATTTGCTTAGGGATCACCAGGCATCCCATTAGCTCCATTTCACAGGAGAGGAAATTGAGGTACAGGTAGGTTCAGTAACATGCTTTGTTACTGAACCTACCTGCTTTGTATACCGGAGTCACCTGCTTTGTATACAGAAGAGGTGGGACTCAGACCCAGACGTGCCTGGCTTCAAACCTACGGCTCCAGGCCTGCTCACGTTCCACACATCACAATCACAGAATGGCTCTGTACACTGCTGTTATAGTTGTATACACTATGATATTGAGACTATACTTTGTTCTTGTTTAGTTGGAAACTTTCATTTTAATGCTTAAAACCAGGAAAATGAAAACTTTTGGCATTTACACCCCTTTAGTTCTATTAGTTTGGTCAAATTGATGTGATATTTACAGATCAATAGTGAAATCTGCTGAGGTGAGTAGAACGCCCTGGGCACTTAACCTTCCCTTTGCATAACATGCTGGAGAAAATCACCAACATGAGGCCTCAGTGAACAAGGGCAAGAGTTCATTCCTACTGAATAACTGCTTAATTAGATACCTTTCGGAAAACTACAACCTCTCAGAAAGGTCAGCTCGGCTGTGACAGCTGTGTGGATATATACTAGGAGGGAGAGGCTGTACTTGGCAAGAAATTAGGACCAATGAATTTTTAACATCTTGGTAATGATGCTCTGTGGCCCACTGTTCTTCTTAGCTGATGTACTGCCATGGGGTAGATGACAAAGAGGAACACATAAAGAAGCCTGCTACAGGAACAACCTGCCTTTTCTTGCATGAGATGCTAAAACATTCTGTGGGAAGCAGAGAAGGAGTCAAAGGACAAAGCTGAGAGGCAGAAAAACAGAGAAGCATGGAGAGAGAGAGAGATTCCTACCTTTACTATAGAAGAACAACACCCTCCTATCAATTTCCCCTTATAGTACTCAGTTAGTGGCAGTATTATGAGCAGTAGACTGTTCCTTCACACTGAAACAAGGAAGAGCCTCCATTATTTAGGAGATGTGTATTTATAAATGTGTATGAATAACCCACATATTAGAACATGTATTAGTGGTTCCTGCCCCTGGCCTCCGGCTGGGAGCAGCAGGTCTTCCTCTGTACAATGCTGGCCAGAGGGTCAAAGGATGCCCGGCGGCCAGCCACTGGATTATAAGCTCAGGGTTCGTTAGCACATCTAAAAGGAACAGATGAGCAGTTTTTCACTTAGAGAAGAACTCATCTTCTAACAACCCTAAACTTCCTTTACTAAATGAATTCTGAAGTCTGAGGAAGTCACCTCGCTTTGGAGGTGCTGGGTCCAGAGAGTGTCTAGGGCTTCAGGACTTTAATATTACACAGGGGCACATGCCAGGGGCCATCTAGGAGTACAGGACAGAGTCCTGGTTCTGTCAACAGGTGCTCCAACAACACTTAAAATAAATACATTGACAGCACCAAATGGGCAGATGTCCGGTCTTCCGGAAAGCAACACAAGGACCACTCCAAGTGCCATGGACTGTCAGGGCCCATGTCCTCACTGTATCTGGTTGAAGCCAGAAGTGTCCACTTGTATGTTGGTTTCAAACCAGCCAGAGAAAAAGGGGATCAGACCACTCACCATCTGCAGGACATCAGAGGAGACCATCTGCATGCAGCACATGGCTGTGGCCAGCGCACACACAATGGTGGAGACAACGTTGAGGGCGCACACACTGAAGAGGAGATCCTGCGAGAAAAGATGCGGGACAATGTCAGGCTCATCTTGACAGCCCAGATGGCAGAATGCTCAGCCCTTCGGCCAGGGTACAGAATGACAGTGGTCAACTGCCATGCACGTCATGGAGGTTTTGGTGTGTATGTATGTGTGTGTGTGTTTCATAATCAAAACTGTACTTTAATATAGGTATATGTTTATTTTCTTACAATGCTGATCAAATTATTCTTGATGTATTTAAAAATTTTGATGATTATCAGGCAGTCATAAAATATAGAAGAAAATCTTGAGATGGCCACCCTTGAAAGTGGTGGGCAATTTTTCTCAATCACAACATGTAACTCAAAATTTTGATGAGTGTTTCATGAAATGCCAAATACTTAAATGAAACTCTTTATCTTGAGATAACTGGAGACTCACATGCAGTTGTAAGACATCATACCAAGTGATCCTGGGTACCCTTTACTCACTTTCCCTCAGCAGTAACATCTTCCAAAACTATAGTTCAATATCACAGCCAGGATACTGACATTGGTACAGCCAGGATGCAGAACAGTTCCATCACCCCATGGGCCCCCCCAACTCTATCCCCCACTTCCCTTTTATAGACTCACCCTTCTCTCTCTCTCTGCTCCCCACTCAACCAGTTTCCTATCGCTTGTCAATCAAAAGCCCATTCTCTGTTTTTCGCATTTTTTCATTTCAAGATTCTTGCATACATGAAATCATACAGCATATAACCTTTCAGAATTGGCTTTTTCAATTGGCATAATTCCCTTTATAATTCATCCAGATCGTTACACGTATCAATAGCTCTTTCATTTTTATTGCTGAGTAGTATCCCACAGTACGGATGTACCACAGTTTAGTTTAATCATCAACAATTGAGGAGTATCTGGGTTGTTTCCTGTTTTGGGTCATTACAAATAAAGCTGCTGCTAACATTTGTTTACAGGTCTTTGTGTGAACATAGGTTTTTACTTCTAAGGACAAACATCCAATATCCAGGACAATTTCTGGGTTGTATGGCAATTATATATTTATTTTTATAAGAAATTGCCAAACTGCTTTCCAGAGGGGTTAACCCGTTTTACATTCCCACTAGCAATGTATGAGTGATTCAGTTTCTCTGAATCACTGGCTATTTAAGTCTACAATCCATTTAAGCTATTGTTGAATAGAGGGCGAGTTTTCAGTTGAGGTTCATTTTTGTGTTTTTGATTTAATTTTCCACAAGTTCATTGTTAGTATGTAGAAATATGAATGCTTTTTGTGTGTTTGTTTTGTATCTTGTGACCTTGCTGAAAACAATGACTAGTTCTAGCAATTTTTTTTAAAGAGACAAGTTCTCCCTCTGTAGTCCAGGCTGGAGTGCCGTGGTGCAATCATAGCTCACTACAGCTGTGAAATCCTGGGTTGAAGTGATCCTCCTACCTCAGCTCTCAAGTAGCTAGGACTATAGACATGTGCTATCATACCCAGATAGTTAAACAAAAATTTTTTTGGGGGGGAGGGTAAGGACAAAGTTCTCGCTATGTCACCCAGGCTGGTCTCAAACTACTGACCTCAAGCAATCATCCTGCCTAGGCCTCCCAAAGTTCTGGGATTACAGGTATGAGCCACCATGCCCAGTCCAGTTATAGTAATTATTTTAAAGATGTCTTAGGATTTTTCTATGTAGACAATCAAGGCACTCACAAATGTTTTATTTCTTAATTTCCATTTTGTTACCTTTTTTTTCATGGCTTATAGCACTAGCTAGAACTCTGGACATTATGACTGAAAATGGGATAATGAAAGCAGACACCTTTGTCCGTTATCTTAGAGAATACACTTCATGGAGTTTTAACTGCTCAAATGCAATTCATTCTTCTTTAGGAAACTTACTCTGAAACCCATGCCAGAAATAGAAGAGGGGAAAAAAAAAACAAAACATGATTCACAAAATGACCAAGAATTAGAAATAATATGTTCTTCTATTAAAGCTTTTTATATGCAAGTGTACAAAATACTATACATATTAAAAGAACTATTGGGAAAGATGGATTCCAACACCAGAGAGACTGTGGTATTAGATTCGTTTAAATGATCTAATCAAGGGGTCAGCAAATCCTCAAAAGGAGATGGGGAATGCTGCCCTCACTGACACACACTGTGTGCATGTTAGGATATGTCCACATGGCTGTTGAGTCCAGCAACATTTCCAGGGCTTGCTCATATACACGTGAGCCCACCCATGTGCTCTAATCTGTAACATCCTCACAAATTCTCCATTCTTCTACGGAAGTCACTGTCCAATCCCCTTCCTCAGAACCTGTTTATCAGTTCTCAAGACCACCTTGCAAATTAGTAAAGAAATGTGATTACGACAATATTATGAATGACACTTTGGCTAAACACTTTCCCAAGGTTATATAGCCCAGTACAAATGTGAGACAGGGAAATGAGTCTTGATCTTAAGAAGTGCTAGGCAGAACAGAGACAGGGCTCAGTCTTGGGCTAATTATTCCCCATTTCTGAGGCAAAACCTTTCTGAGTCGCTGAGCTATGTGGGAACAAGTGCTGCTCCTCTGTGAGCTCCAGGCACTCTTATCTCTAATCATTTTGGGTGGTTCTTTCCCAACTGGTAGTTTCTTCACATGCGTATGGTAACCAGCATTCAACTGAATACACGAGGGAGAACCTCTGAAGGTTCCCACAGTTCTCTCTTGGTACAGCTGGTACTCTGTTCTGAGAACTCTAGTCTTCAGGCCTTGGTCCCCTCAGACTCTCAGCTCTTATACCCCCAACCCAGGGAGTCTACAGGGATCCTTCTGAATCCCTTTTCCTAGTACTGAGACCTGGAAACTCCTTCAAGGCAGTGAGCTAGACCAATTGTAGGGCTAACCCTATTTGCTGACCATCTCTCAGGGATCACCTGATAGTGAGTGTCTTCATATGTTTTGTCTATTTTGGGGGTTGTTACAGGTGGGAGGTTGAATCCAATCCCCTGTTACTCCCTCTTGACCAGAAGTTCTTGGTGGTGCTTTTGTTTCCGTTTTCTAAGTGGGTTGTAACAGGGTTGGGTGAATTGTCCTAGGCGTTCTGTGCGACATGATTTTGGCCATCTCAAGTGCCCGTCCTGCTCCTGCAGCCACTGAAGATGGAGCAGGATGGGGGCTCAGTTGTGGCAGACAGCAGGCACAGACAGGGCTGGCGTGAGGCTATGGAGTTTGGATCGTGTGTTATAGGTCATGAAATGCCACTGAAGACGTGTGATGTGGGAAAAGAGGTCCTACAACCTGCTTTCACAATGTTTGAGAGAGATGCCTATGCAGGGAAGGCCTAGCAAATAACTCGAGATGGAGTCAGTGCTCAGTAAACATCTGTTGAAATGAGAGACTGGACACAGGAAAGTGACCCTGAGATCCTACTGAGAGAGTCAACCAGAGCATACAGGAAGCAAGCAGACTGTTGTGAGCCTTGAAGCAACTCCGAAGTCGAAACCAACAGAGCTTGGCAGTTTACTGGGGGGCTGGGAGACTGGGATGAGGGAGAAGAGATCATAGGAATGCTGATTTAGATGAGTGGGAACATGAGATGCCAGCACCTGGGGCAGGGACCATGGGAGGGGAGCAGTCTTAAAGAACAACCAAAGTGGTCTGGGAGGTGTGGAGCCTGAGTGGCAGTGGGTCTGTTCCACAGACAAGCTAGTGGATGTTGGAAAGGTGGGTCTTGGGCTACAGTGGAAATCACAACTGGAGGTGTGGATTAGGAGTCATCCCTATGGAGTTGAAGTGTGCCTTCACCTTGTGGGGTCTCCTGATGTATCTGATGGCTCCTGTGTTCACTCATTTCCATCAGACATCAGAGGGTCAGGGTCCTCTGCAGACCCCCTACAGAAGAGGGTACTACTTCCACGAAATTACCATATTTACCTTAAACGTACTCTTGAGAGTACCCTAATATGTAGAACTCTTTTTAAAATTATTTTTCATTTTGATTTTTTAGAGAGAGTCTCACTCTGTCACCCAGATTGGAGTGCGGTGGCATGATCATAGCTTACTGCAGCCTCGAACTCAAGCCCCAAACTCATCTTGGGCTCAAGTGATCCTTCTGCCTCAGTCCCCTGAGTAGTGACTATAGGTTAATACCATCATTCTTGGCTTGCCCCCATCACCTCCTTTTTAGATTTTTTTGTAGATATGGGGCCTTGCTACGTTGCCTAGGTTGGCCTTGAACTTCTGGCATCAAGCGATTCTCCCACCTCAGCTTTCCAAAGGGCTGGGATTACAGGCATGAGCCACTGCACCCAGCCTATATAAAACTCTTAAATTTTCAAATTTCAGGAGTCAATTCAAAATTATAACTCAAATAGTGACATCTTTCAATGTACTAAATTATAAACGCTGAAAATATAAATGATACCTTTACTTTGTATTCAACCTACATACTCCAATGTCATTGAAATGAATGCCTTTCTAAAAATAACATCAACTTTGCATATGCTACCATTTGCAGCCAAATGAAATTACTCACAAAAAAGAAACACAAATTATAACCTTTTGTTTGAATATGCATTATGAGGCAAATACAGCTTTATGTCTCATGAAGTGTACTCATTGAGACACATGCCAAAAAGGATTGTTTTTCTTTCTTTCTTTCTCTCTTTTTTTACTTCCAGCTGTTTAAATGCTTGGCTTTTTTCTAAATAACTGCACAGCACCTAGAATTGTGTTTACATGTTTCTTCAGAATTCTCTTCTAGCTTAAATAATGCCTTTATCTCTGCCTTTTGACAGCTTTATCACAGAGTCCTCTACAAGCACTGAAATCCACATTCTATAATATCCCTTTACAAAGTCATTCAAAGCGGCAAACGTGAAAATGAGGCAGGTCTTTCACTGCTGATGTTGAGTTTTGTTGCTCAATATCAGCATAACATTCTGCATATTTACTTTTGAAGTTACTAATAAGATTAAGGAAATCATATATGGAACAAATCATACGTAGAACAAAAACAAGAGGAAAATA